GTTTCGATCCCGTACCCACCATGTTTGCTCATTCGCCGTCGCCGGTCCCTCGATCACGTGCGCCGTCGCCGTTGACCCGCGTCCATGGGCGGGCAGCAGGCCTGCAGCCCTCCAGCCCTCTAAACCCCTCCGACCCCTCTAACCCTCTCGTGGGGCACTCGGAAGCGCCGCGCCATTCTTTTTTTGCGAACCCTCCCGGAGGCCCTTCCGACCCCTCTCGAGCCCTCCCGCCACGAAGATCCTCTCTTTGTCCGACCGTCCCTCCGAGCCCACCCGGCGACCGAGCCCTCTTGCCTACCACCCGAGCTCGGGGGGGCGCGAGCCCTCCTGGACCCCACCACCCCTCCCGCCTCGCCCAGCCCTCCTGACCCCTCTCCCCGGTGGACCGCTCCACCCTCCCAGCGCGCTAGCCCTATGGGACCCTGTGGAGCCCTCCCGACGCCGATCCGACGGGGACCCCTCCAGCCCTGTGGGCTGGCGAGCCCTCCGGTCGGAGGGGTGGAAGTGGGAGGGCTCGAGGACGGACCCCTCTCGCTCCGGGAGGGTGGAGGGGTGGAGGGTGGAGGGGTGGAGGGGTGGTTGAGCCCTCTAGCTCTATCGATTTAGCCCTACCCCTCCCGCCGTTTTAGGGCTTGCTGACCCGCTATGTCCCAGCGGTGGCCGCGGGGAGAGGCCGAGGCCGTGGTCGAGGAGGCCCGGCTGTGGCAGCAGTCCCTGCTATGCCCGGACCGCCAGACCTGCTCTTCCTCACGCACCTCCCGCTTCACGCGCTCGAGGTGGACGGGGAGCTGCCTCTGCTCTCGTACTCGCTGCTCTCTTTCTGTCTGGGGCCGACGGCTACGAGGGCGGCCCGCCTTCCTCTGGCGGCCCCTGCGCGGATCATAGCCGGCCTTCTTCAAGGGGCTATTGTGCAGAGCTTCGGGACGGCGGCCGCCAACCCGGCGATGCTCGCGCTCCAGATCCCTCGCCTGCTCAAGGGCTCCTCGCTCCCCGTCCTCTTTCAGTCCACCGCCTCGGACCCGTACACAAGGCTCGAGGACTTCACGGACATGCTCCGCATGCAGTCCGGTGGTGCAGATGAGAGGCGGCGCATCGAGGAGAGGCGGATCAAGCTCGCCACCTCTCTGGGCGCGCTCTACCAGCTGGTCATCCAGCCGTCGCCTTCGGCCCAGACTGCGACCACTCTGGTGAGCCGCCTGGCCGCCAAGATTCTGACTGCGCCCCAGCTCAAACTGTCGCTCGCGGACCAACTTGCCATCCTCTCGGCAGTCGTCCATGATCGGCGGCATCTTGTCCAAGCCGGAGCTTCCGCGGAAGACGCGGTCACCGCTCTGATGGCGGAGAACCTCCTCTACGACGGGGGGCGAGTCCCGGGCGGACCTGCCCCGGGTGCTGACGGCGGGCCTGATGTGTCTGCCCACGCTCTCCCGAGCCGCCTCATCGAGAAGGCTTCGATGCTGCCCCAGTTTCCAGCGCTCGCGGGCGCAAT